CCCTTGGAGGGGAAAGGACGGACACCCGGAGCTCCGAAGAGGGAAAGAGGGGGGTCTCCATGCTCCCCACCCACCCACCCTCCCCTCTGATATGGGGGCTGGGCAATACCTGCTCGATCCAGGGGATGAAAGCAGAGACGCGGGTGAAGACGGTGGGCTTCTGCAGGGTGTTGCAACCCCGGGCAGAGATGAAGCTGGTCACCCCGTGAACGTACCACCGGCCGTCAGCAGCTGGGCAACTGAGGGGGCCCCCGGAGTCACCCTGAAATGGGGAGTGAACCCTGACCCTTGTGTTCCTCAGTCATCCATGCAAAAATACTTCTCTACTGCTCTCTCCCAGGGAGGTGGCTGTTGCTTACAGAGCCCCCCCTGCTCAGGGACTGGATCCTCGGAAGGATTTCTCCCGCAACTCCCCTTTTGGTCCCGGCACGCAATGAAGCAGCAACGGGCAGCCTAATCCCCCTGCAGTGCCACCCCTGGAGGTTCTTAAGAAGAGACGGACTTGTCTGGAATGACATAGGGACTCGTGCTCGAAGAGGGGGTTGGGCTAGAAGACCTCCAAGGTCCCTTCTGGCGCTGTTCAGATTGGGTTGGGGTGGGAAGGCCAGGGCTGCTAATCCAGGAAAGGAGATTCCAGCTTCCTGGGCCCCAATCTCCGAACCCCAAACTGTATGCGGGACCCCTGCAGGCATCTACTCACGTTGCAGGCAGCTTTGATGTCCCCACCGGCGCACACCATGGTCTGCTTGACGTAGGTCCCCCACCAGTCTGGCTGGGTGCAATGTGCATAGTCCACGACTGGCAGAAGCGCCTGCTGAAGGATGTCAGGCATGGGGCCTCCGGCTGGAAGAGAGAAAAAAAATTTCCCCCACCCCTGTTGAATGGCTTCGCTCTTTCCATGGTGGCCCAGTGGTTAGTGGGCAGCTAACTCTGCCCATTGCCAACAGCTCGATCCTGATCAGCTCAAGATGGACTCAACCTTCTATCCTCCCGAGGTGGGTAAAAAGAGAACCCAGATTATTGGGGGCAAGAGGCTGATTCTGTCAACCGCTTAGAGAGGGCTGTGAAGTGGTATATAAGTCTAAGTGCTATTGCTTCCTTCCTTCCTTCCTTCCTTCCTTCCTTCCTTCCTTCCTTCCTTCCTTCCTTCCTTCCTTCCTTCCTTCCTTCCTGTTAGAATGCAGTATTCCATGCTAACTCTGCCCACTGTCAGCAGTTCAATCTTGACCAGCTCAAGGTGGACTCATCCTTCCATCCTTCCGGGGTGGGTAAAACAAGGACCCGGATTCTTTGGGGGCCAAGAGGCTGACACAACAACCGCTTAGAGAAGGCTGTGCTATTGCTATTCCCGCGTGCACCTTCCCCCCGGCCGGGACCTACTGTAGAGCGTGCCCCAGCCAGAGACGTAGCAGGGATGATGGTTGGGGAGCACCTCTCCTCGTGGGGGGAGGCACGCCAGCTGCACCTTGTCGTTGAGAACGGCCGGCCGGGAGAGTTTGATCAGGGCGATGTCGTCCCTGGAAGAAGAGGCGGTGACGGTGGTGAGGAGGGGGCTATTTTCCTTCCCTCCCCCTGGGATTTCCTTTGCAAGAAGACACCCATCCACTCCTGCCAGCCGCCTCCTTGGGAACAAGGACGGTTCTACTCACCCACAGCTGAGGCAGTTGGAGTTCCAGCCGGGGTGCACGAAGATGTCCTCGGGGTTGATCAAAATCTCCTGTTCCGGGCTCTCCACCTTGGCCAGGTTATATTCCCCCAGGACGACTTTGTAGCGGAGGTGTAGACTGAGAGAGGGGGGCAACAGAGTGAGATGAGGGGGACTCTGGGCCTCCTTCAGCCCTCCATTAAGGAGTGGCTCCTTCACCTGCCCTGTGCCCCACACCAGGAGAGCCAAGGTGCCCGAGGGGACTCACTGGATGCAGTGCCCGGCAGTCATCACCCAGTTGGGGTGGATGAGGCTCCCCCCACAGGTGTGGTAGAAGGAATCTCCAGCCTGGTATTGCAGGGACACCTGCGGCAAACAAGGGAGAGGTGGACTTATTAATGTTGCCCACCCAGACCTTCTTCTCCCTCCAAAAAACACTCTTCATGGTCTGTAGCTGGGGTGAGCGGCTTTTTTCCAACCCCCCCCCCTTCTCTCTGCCTTTCTGGTGCAGCTACTAGGAGTTGGAGGGATCGCCTACTACTTACCTGCCAGGGCCAGCTGTAAGGAATGGCATCTTCTCCGTTCACTACCCTCCCGGTTCGGACGGGGGGATAGGCAGGTTCTCCACAGCCGTGGGCTGAGCGGAAGCGGGGAGAGAAATCACACGATCTCGTCACACGGAGTTGCCTTTCCAAGGACTGTTTCCCATGTTTTCCTGGCCACTAACTTTCTACACCGAGAGTCTTCAAACTGGGCAAGTTTGAAGACTTGTGGACTTCGACTCCCAGAGTTCCCGATCTAAGATGGACTGGAGGAGGAATTCTGGGAGTTGAAGTCCACAAGTCTTAAAGCTG